TATGGAATACCATCCTACTCACTCATTCAGAGGTCTGAGTTGGTGGGCAAAGCAGAAAGGTATAGGAACCAGGGGTTTGGCTATGAAGACTTTACAGCCTTAGATCTCTGAGATAAAAATTGGGTAGACATGTCCCCTTTGGGGTGGGGGGAACCACACATCAAGTCTATAGCATAGTCATAAGGTCAATGAGAGGGCAGAGTTGCCCATTGTCTGCTAAAGGGAGTAGGGATAGTCTGCTGGGGGCTATATGGGGGGATATATGGGGTTTGTGTATCTGGAGTATTGTGCTGAGGATGGCCCACCGTCCATCAGCCTCTAAGCTAATAAAGCTGTCAGCACAGACAGTCACACCTTCTCAATTCCACAGGAGAACTTTACTGGCAATAGGATCAGCATGATAAGATGTGCAGTTATTTATGAAGGGCTCCCTTCACCTTCAACAGCTGAGTATTCAAGGTAGCAGTGGCTGACTATAACACAATATACTGTACAAGTCCCCCTTCTCCTTTGGCATAGTGCCATCCTGGCTGGACAGCCACATCTGACCCAAAAGCAAAGATTCAATCTACTACAGTCAAGATGAAGAACTCACTGACCTCTCTACGGTGCCATATAGACTAAACCCAATCACCTCCTGCTGTACCCGATCCTCATGAGAGAGAAATATTCCCCTTTATTTAGGCAGACCATTGTCTCTTTGGAAGTCAGATAACCTCTGTCAGTAAGCTGTAATGAAGGCAGCATTAAAGGGAAGGAGAGTACTAAGGTGATGATTGCCATCCGAGTTCTCACTACTGTACTATAGAAGCCAAGACAAAGTAATTCATCAGTGTCAAGATATGTCATACTCAATGGAATAAAGAGCTCTATTAGTTAAGATTAAGCTGAAAGAGAAACCAACACACAGGAGAGTCCCACATAGAAACCTTCACCTAATGATGAGTACCACCATCAGTACATTACTGTACAGCATCTCCACATCACCTTAGACTTCACATCTCCTCAGACTGGAGGCTTAATGTGTCTGCTCCACTGTTTACCCTTCTCTCAAAACCTTGACTGCATCTTAAGGGTGCAGTCACACTAGCAAATCCCTACCGTGTCCAGGCACTTTTGTCCCCCTAAGTCCAGTTTGTTCAACTTGTGTAGCCGCTGGGTACCGTGCCCTGGCCCGCTTGGAGATGTGGGCCAGAGCCCGGTTAGTTGGACTCGGGCGTGGTGCACATCTAGCGTGATCGCTAACTGTGCCTGAGTACGGAACACAGACATGACGTCAATGATGTGACTGACACTCGCATGCACACATGTACACTATACATGTGCTGGACCAGGATGGAATGGAGCAGGTAAACTGTAATATTAGTGATATTATCTGATATCGTTTTATTATCGATTATATTCTTTAGTTGTTGCTAATGATTATTTTTGCTGCTATAATACTTTCCCCTCTGAGGATCAATAAAGCGTTATATCATATATATCGTATAAAGTCACTTTTATATTTTAATTAAATATTATATATAGTAATTATAACAACTATTGATTGAAACAGACATTTTCAGTTGCTGTTTTTTTTTATTTCAGGTGAATATTTAGCTTCAAATTTTATTTTTAGCTCTGAAGAAAATTAGCGAGGTCTGTACCTCAGTGACCTCATACTTGGCTCTGACCTGGCTTTACATATACTAAGCTTACCATAGTAAGTTTAGTGGTTGTATTGTGGCGGCAGTGTCTGTGTCTTCTTTGTAACCTCTGCTGCCGTACTCTCCCCCCTGTATTGGCCAATAAACCTGTTGGACTCACTTGCTGTCTGCTTTCCCTGCAGCCTGGCCGCTTATCACAAATACACTCTTTGTTTTTTTTCGTGTAGAGCAATTAACATAAACTTTTTAGTTATATTAAAATTATACTATTTGTTACTCTGATTTAATGATTTTTTTAAAACCATTTCCCCCAAATAGGCAGTCAAAAATCTCATTATCACAATAGTTTTGAGATTAAATAACAAAAAATTTGATCACATGTTTTTAAAACTTTCAATTGTATTGCATGCAACCCACAATAAAGAATTCCTTTGTATGATGCATATTTTTTTTGCTGATTTAGTAATTTTTTTCTCATCTCTACCTGTTATGGATTAGCACATAGGAGAGAGTGTGATATTATTAATTTAAATGCAAAGGTCTGTTTTTTGGCTAGGATGTATAATGCACGGTTAAATGTTGGCAGATACCAAGAACACTGGTCACAGATATTCATCAGCGGTGAGTTTCCCGAAACCTTATTATCTATCTTTCAACACAGAACTTACGAAGGACACAGCATTAAGAGGGCTTCAGGAAACCCAGATCTTTACTGGATTTGATTAAATACTTTTATTACAGGAATAAATTATAATAAAATAAAACTGATTAACTACCACAGGGGCAAAACTGACAGTTTTATGGTGAAGTTGTATAATTTTGTCTGTCTTCAAAGTAAATTAAAAAAATTAAAGCAAACTGATATGTTACATTAATGAGTTTGTGAGTGTAATCCTGTAATGCACAGCCACAGGTATATTTATAATAATAATAATAATAATAATAATAATAATAATAATAATAATTGATATTTTATTGATCCCCAGGACTTGCTCTCCATAGGTGAGACCCAGCTGGCCGCGATGAGCCAGCACAGCAGTATTTGTATGGCTGTATCTCTGCATTTACCTTCCTAGACTCTCTAAATGCTGCTGTATTTATAGTTAATAAAAGCTGAGTAAGAGTTTGCAGAAACTTAAATGTAGTTTTCCAGTACCAGCTACACAGCTCCAGTCACGTGCATTTACCTCGATAAGCACAACTCTGTTATCGCTGTGAGGGGTACTGCACTCTGAATTAAATATTTTCAAGATATGATCACCGATTAAGGCATAATGCCAAAACATTTGTGTGGGACCCAGGATGGTGCCACCCATCAGAGTTCTGAGCCTATCGCCAATATTTAGATTTTTTTTACAGTCTACGAACCCACTGTATGTACGGTCGGTCATGCGAGTTGGTCGAGTGAGATTTTTAAAGTTTTTTCCTAAAACCTGATCAACACCTACGAATCCATAGATTAACATTACGTCATTCTGATAATTTGGAATCTTTCATCAAATTATGTGTGACATTTTAATTAGATGCAAGTTAAAACGCTTCCCCAAAGATTTAGTTTTATTATTATTCTTAAGAATACATCAATAAACCACGGTCCGTTACGATGTACGCTAATCTTTTGAAGGCATCCTTGCGTTTTTGCACGTAAAACGCAGTGTAACGTACAAACAACATCGACAGCGCGACTGCTAAATGGAGGAGCCAAATCGACAGCAAAATTAACAGAAAAAAAATAGGATAATAATGTAAAACGTTCACAAGGCTTATATGAAATGCATCGTTGGGGAATTTTTCAGCTCATAATTACATAATCACACTGGCTGCGTTACGCCTTTGGTAGACTCTTTTCCTTTCTCTGTAGTTTACACTATATGCTGGTCGTGATACTTGCTGTAAATATTGTTAGCGACTAGCGCATCTTCCGTCTGCTGACAAACCAAGCACGTGTGTTGCGGTTTGTTAGAATCAACAGGGCAAATGTTTTAATGAAGTATGACTGCAAACCGGGACAGCTTCATCCCTCTTTTATTGGATGGAAATTGGCACGTGTGGCAAGTAAGGCTATGCATCGGCCACGTGATTGGAAGGAAATATATTCTGCAATAGAAGATTCATTCTATTCCCTGGCTTGCGTCCATCGCTCCCGGGATCGGCTGAACGGGACAAGCGGGTTTACACCTCTGGGGGGAAAGCCGAAATGTGAAGATGGGAAATGAGGTAAAATTTGACCAGGGGGTCAAAGAGAAAAAATGTTACCAGTAATTTCACTAACAGTAACAGTTAACACAACATTAAAACGTGGGGTACAATGGCATAGGAAGGAGTTTGATGTTTGTGGTGGACGCACCTTAATAATTTTAATACAAAGGGTCTATTTATATGCATGAAGCCAAATTAAATCCCCCCAACCCCGTTTCTACGCCCCTGGTATAAAAGGAGACAGGAAACCAACGGAGGGAAGTGAACAATTCACTAAAGTGCGATGGTACAAATTAAAGGGTGAAACAAGCTTAAAGAATACTTAAGGCCTGGAGATGAAGAGGCGTGCTTAAAATGATGGGACTATTGACTGTTTAATAAAACCCACGACGGTGCATAAAAAGCAGAAATGAAAACAGCGGTTTGCACTTTCTTACTAGAAGGCTAAAGTTATTACAAGTCTTGTGTTTACCCACCGAAATATTTTCTATCCAGAATGCAGCAAAATTAAATGAACTAAATTAAATAATAATAGAATATTTTAATACGACTAAACATCCTCACAACATAGGCTGGATCACAAGACAAATAGCCACTGTAATAGGCCGAGTTTTCCACCGTATTAACGCTCTTTCAGAGAGTGTTCCACTTTCCAAACAACTCACGTCACGGAGATTCAAGTAAGGTGAATATTTACATAAATAAGTATATTATTTCAAGTAAAATAGTTTATTTCAAAACCGTCGACAATCAAGTGGTTATTAAGGCCATCAGAGAGAAATCATTTAACCAGTCCTTTTCATTGAGGTTAATTTACTTCTCCTGAGAGACTAGAAAGATATTTTGTTAATGAGACCAAAAATTAACAGCAACCATGAGAATTGTGCAGCAGTTCATCTATAAAAAGATTTCAGCAGAGGAGAGTAGTTTTTGACTTAATTGCCAGAGAATGGGGTCCCGAGAATTAATTGCACTGTTTAACCATTGGGATTTGCTGGGCTTAACTTTGCCTGATTATAATACGGAGTATACGAGGTCTCAGGTTTGAAAATGTTGGTGGCGACTAGGACAGCTATAATAATAACAACAACTGATGGGTTAACGCTCGACACCTGCACTTTTTACTAGGCTCCATAAAAAGCAGAGACCTTTTACCTTTGCCCGGACCTGTCCTGAAGTGGACACCTTCCTGATGAGTCTCTGCGATGTCTCCTCTTGTTCTCCATCACTGTCGGACGACTCATCGGCCGCATCTCCCGGAGTTAAACGGCTGCTATTCTGCACGGAGAGGGTCGCTGGTGGATGCTGGACGTCCAGAGTGTTGGGTTTCATTTTTGCAGCCATGGGAGATCAGAGAGTGTGGTATCTCGTCCCTCCAAGTCTCCGAGTTTGCTCTGAAAAAAAGAGAAGATATTGCCAAATCCCAAATATCGTTTTACTTTCATAACAGATGCAACAGTGTACATGAAATTCGAATAGCCTATTAATCGTGATTGTCGTAATAGCGTTTATAGTATATAAAAACAATTAAAATACAAAGGTATCACTGTTATAATTACTAATATAGAATACGTGAATAAACCGTTCGAAAATAAAGAGAACGCACTAAAACGTGTTTGAGAAAAAAAAATATTATAAAATGTTAAATCCCTTATCATTGTAGAATAAGTATCGTTTTGGATACCCTACCGTGTTCTTTTATTTGATTTTGTAAGTCAGTTTCCACCCCACAAAGACCGAATCGTTGACTGAGAGCTATTTCTTGGTTTGTTCAAAACTGCCATTTTTCGGAAACGCACGTCTCGACGCCCTGTTTCCCCGGTGAAGCGCACATTGATCACTGCCTGTATTGATGGATGCACATTGGTATCGGTTCTATCCTTGAAATGCGCACAAGTGTGCTGCTGCGCTCCAGCGAAGCGTACGGCCAGAGAGCCGGCTTCAGCAGATAAACACGGATCGGAGAGCTCCAGCTTCAGCAGATAAACACGGATCGGAGAGCTCCAGCTTCAGCAGATAAACACGGATCGGAGAGCGCAGCTTCAGTAGATAAACACGTATCGGAGAGCTCCAGCTTCAGGCTCTATTCGCACACCTCTAGTAAGTCTATCAGTGGGACCCGCGCGGACCCACAGCTTCAGGTGACACACACAGACTCCCAAGCTTTCGGAGATACGTGCAGACCCCCCCGCTTCAAGTGATTCACGCAGACCTCCAGTAAGGCGATACGAATGGACCTCAAGCTTCAGGTAATACGGGCAGGTCTGCGTAACCCGCTATCGGTGCCCAGCAGACAGAAATGCCTCCTGTCCACATACCTCCACTTTAACAAATTCCGCACAGACATGCAAAATTCTAAAGCGCAGCTCTTCAGATGTATTTTAAGAACATGCAAAAGATACCCGCGCTATAATATTTACCTGTGCCGCCGCCTGCCTCTGTGCTGTACATTAAGCTGTCACGGATTGAAACTGTCATGTATTACACACGGAAAGTCCAGTCCCAGGAGGGGGAGGGTGACTGCGAGGATGCCAGCACATTCATCCTCATCGACCTTGGCCATACAGCAAGACTGCAACTCTGCGACAAATTCTGCCAACATTTTGTCGCTTTCCTACCTTTCAAACGCACGTTTCCATCTGGAAAAAACAGCACAGTGATTAACCTTTGCCTTTATTTCGCTGACGTGCCTTAATACCCTACCTGTTCAGTTGCACCGTCGACAGGTGGTCACCTCTAAACACGCCAACTAGTCTTACCACGGGAGCGCGGTCACTATAGAGTTATATTCGGCATTTTGGTTGCATCGTCTGTACGCAGCGCTTCTCTTCCTATGGCTAAGGGACTCCAACCTGAACGATGCATGCATATCATTTCACCGTAATGCCGCACACGTTTGTGCAACAGGGATGGACATAATTCACACTGCTTATGAAATTTCCTTCATTCGGGTCTTCGGATCACATTCGTGTCATTGTGTTTCGTTATACTTAGTAGGCGAACAATACATTTAATCTGGCCACTTAGCATGGTGAAGAGCGTTGTGGTTTCAGCAACCGCCAAACCTTTCGCACAATTGCTTAAGCCTAGATGCGTACAGGTCAGAATTAATCATATTGAATTTTGTATAGTAAAACCCAAAAACCCCTAGTCTATTAATGCAATAATAAACACTTTATTGACATGATACTGAAACTAAACACGCTTATGTATTATTTAGAGGAAGCTACACCGAGGGTCAAAACATCCTCAGAAGATCTTAACTGATTTAAAGTAAACGTTGGCTTTGTATTTTGGTTTTTGGCTGCCCCCTGTCGAATTTCTGCGGAAAGACATTTCTTCCGTATAGCGTCCTTCACTCCCTGCTTCTATGATTCCGTATTGTATGAATGATTTTTAATTGTGCCGTATGAATGTTATCATCCAGTATCTTGTCCATGCACAGATATATCAGCTAAAAGTGTGCAAATTAATAAACTTTTCTTTCTTGAAGGATATTTTATATAAAACTGGGATGTGCTCTCTCTATATATAGCCCTCTGAGATCCAGGGAAAAAGTTTTTAAATTTTGATTTTTTATTTACATAACCTAACGGGAAGCACGGTGGTGTAACTATTAGCACTGTTGCCTCACACCTCTGGGTCTTCGGGTTGAGCCTCCGCCATGGCTCCATGAGGGTGGAGTTAGCATGTTCTCCCTGTGGGGTTTCCTCTAGGTACTCCAGTTTCCCCCCACAGTCCAAAAACATGCTGAGGCTGATTGGAGTTGCAAATTGCCCATAGGTGTGAATGGTGTGTGAGTGTGCCCTGCGTTGGGCTGGCACCCCTGGGATAAGCAGAATCAGTAAATGGATGGATGGATAAATCAAGTGTTGGGAGTGTAAACCGCGTAGCTACACAAGTGATTCTATGCTAAAGCCAGTCGTCTTTGAACGTAGCTGCACATGTGATTTTATGCTAAAGCCTGTTCTCTTTAAGCGTAGCTACACATGTGATTTTATGCTAAAGCCTGTCCTCTTTAAGCGTAGCTACATATGCGATTTTATGCTAAAGCCTGTTCTCTTTAAGCGCAGCTACACATGTGATTCTATGCTAAATCCTGTCTTCTTTAAGCGCAGCTACACATGTGATTCTATGCTAAATCCTGTTCTCTTTAAGCGTAGCTACACGTGATTTTATGCTAAAGCCTGTTCTCTTTAAGCGCAGCTACACATGCGATTTTATGCTAAAGCCTGTCGTCTTTAAACGTAGCTACACATGCATTTTTATGGTAAATCCTGTCTTCTTTAAGCGCAGCTACACATGTGATTTTATGCTAAAGCCTGTCCTCTTTAAGCGCAGCTACACATGCGATTTTATGCTAAAGCCTGTCGTCTTTAAACGTAGCTACATATGCATTTTTATGGTAAATCCTGTCTTTAAGCATAGCTACACATGTGATTCTATGCTAAAGCCTCTTTAAGTGTAGCTACACATGTGATTTTATGCTAAAGCCTGTCCTCTTTAAGGAACAGCAGCACTTAATAGAATGGCATGGATAGCATGAGAGATATGAGCAAAATCATAATCTGTATGTGAGGAGGATTTAGCAGAATCAAGACATAAGATTAGTTTAATTATAAATTGAGTTATCTCAGCTTTTAGCACAGGCAATTAATTGGAAGCTCTCAGGAATGATAATATGTTTAATGGCAGAAGCAGCTCCACACAGATGCTACTGGACAGGACAGAAGCATCTGGGTGACTGGCTGAGTACCTTTTCTTTTGTTAACATAAAACACCTGCAACAGCATCACGTTCCCGACCCCCATATTAGGCTACTATGTATTGCAGAAATGTATGAAATGCCCATCTAAGGAGCAGCATCTTTATTTCTTCGTTTTTTTCAGTCAAGTAATTGTCCAGGGATCGATTTCTTACAGCAACACTTATGATGTGAGCTTGTTCTCAGTTCTGCCTGCAACTGAATTTGACCAATTCCAGGGGCGATCGTCTGCCAGACCACCCCCCCCCCCCCCATTCTTTTTCCATTTAGATGACCCAACAAGCTCAGTCCAAAAGTGTATTACATCATGTTTGTTAAGCTATGACTGTACACAAAAATCCTGCTGGAATAATCAGAAACAATCAGAAAGTATCAAGGTCCCTGGCCAGACCAGCACAATCCCCTCTGTTTAACTGGATTGGTGAAAATTAATGAGAATGTTGTTTTGCGAGCTTATTCATGAGAATAATTCCATTGTATATTTGCTTTGAAGATGATTTCTGCTGTTTACCCACAATTTCCCAAAAGCTATCCACCCTCATATATTTACTTAAATATAGTGTATGGTCATGATGCATGGTTGTTCAGTAGGTGGCGCTGCTGTCTCATGCCTCTAGTAGTAGGGGGTAGGAATCCCAACACCCTGTGTGTGTGTGGCGTTTGTATTACCTCTGATTGATATGGTGGCTTCCTCTGGCTACTTCCTGGTTTTCTCCCACCTACCACGTGGCTCGGGAGGTCCTGGGCGACCCAGATGGACCTCAGGCCCACACATTCAGCGTTCACAATGAGCAATACAGTACGATAAACTCAGGCCCACCCGTTCAGCGTTCACGGCGAGCGGCACAGTGCAATAAACTCAGGCCCANCGTTCAGCGTTCACGGCGAGCGGCACAGTGCAATAAACTCAGGCCCACCTATTCAGCGTTCACAATGAGCAATACAGTACGATAAACTCAGGCCCGCCCGTTCAGCGTTCACGGCAAGCGAAACAGCATGATGAAACAATAGTGTTTGATAGGTATGTGTGTGTGTGGTTAGATCAGTCAGAGGAATTGTGCTGTTGGGTATCAGGGTCAGCACCCATCTGTCCCAGCCTTTCGTGTCTGCTCCCTGTTTGGCCAGCAGGTGTCGCTGGCCATCCTGTTCTCTCTGTGCCCAAGTCCTTTGTGTGTTTCCCCAATTCCCTAGATTGCTGTGTGGCGCTATGGGCTGAGCGTGTGGCTACTGACCCATCAGTCGTATGTTTAAGTCCACCCACCTCTATTTCCACATTTAATTGATTTTGTTCCCTTGTGTCTCCTTGGTATTAGCCTTTCTAGTTCTGTGGATCGTCTCCTTCCTTTCCTGCCTGTACCATACCCTGAGTCCGTGATGGAAACCCCCGAGTTCCTGAAGGCTGGGAGGTAGATAGACTTTTCTTTCTCTTTGTTCATGAGGTCTTAGTAATGCCACAGGTAATTTGGGAAAAAATATGTAGTTTAATCTGTAGCGTGATTTTGTCACCAAGCGAATTGTTATGGGACTGGCCTGATTTTCTGCCAGCCCACCCACGCTATGATCTCTGGTTCTGCCTTTGACACACACATTCCAAAAAACACATGCAGTTACATGAAATCGGGGTCTCTAAATTGAATGCGCTCCCTATAATGGATTGTCATCCAGGGTGTCCCCTGCTACAGGCTCACCATGACCCTGTACTGTGTTAAAACTCATGGAAGATAGATGGATAGCTGGATGAACAGCAGTAATATCAGGGAAAAACTTTTAATGGTCCATTTTCCACTAGACTACATACATTTAGAAGGAATCTTGAATTCCTTTCCAGCAAACAAAACCTCTGACTCATTCTGACTGCTGTTGTTTTTAACAGAGACCGAGGTGTTACATTACCCTATGAAATCTATTAGGTTCAGTTGCATGTTCTTTTTTTCAACAGGATTTTAATTTAGATTTTTTACTCACATAAATGAAGTGTTGGGATTGTAAAAAATATAGCTCTGCGCATGTGATTTTATGTTAAATCCTGTCCTTTTTCAAGAACAGCAGGACTTAACAGCATCAAGTTTACCACGTACAGTTTCACAAACTAAGGAGAAATGAAGTGTTTTAATCTTACACAATGCAACAGTTCTAGCTACAAGGACATACACAAATATTTCCAAATACTTTTTTATCTAATGTGTTCAACCGGAAGGCTGCCAGTTATGGCCCAGAGAGGACCCTGCTGTTGAACTTCACAGAAAATGCGCCACCAATGCAACACAAGTTGAATTTGCATAAAATGAACATTTCTAGTGGTCCTACTAATAGATTCTGTGACAAGCAGCATGGAATTCATTCTGAGTAGGTGGGGCGGGGGGTGCTGGGGAGGTGGGCACAGAGGGTTTAATTTCATGTACATACACCCATCCTTCAAAACCATGTTCTGGTCCAAGCTCAAGGGGGTCAAAACAAGGGATATGAGCAGCTAATTAAAAGGGGTGTGTGCAGAAGCTATAAACACAGAAATGCCTCCGACCTGTGAAAGCTGTAAGGATGCAGTGGGCATTTTAGCTCAGTATGAAGCCTGTATGTGATGCAGCCTGCAGTTCTGCTAAAAGCCTCCGTGTCGTGCACCTGACCTGAGTGCCGCTCTTCCGCTAGTCCTTCAAAAGACACACTGCTGTCATTGGGGTCACAGCTCGCCCCCTGCTGGCAGCTCCACTCTGTGCCTCACCCCAGCAGTTAACTAAGAGGCCAAATCCGCTCTTTATATCCAAAGTAGGGGGCTTGGTATTAAACTGGAAACAAAGAAAGACATGCAGCACTGGCATTTTCTGGCCTCCAGCATGGATGCAGTGAATACAGTTAATTCTCCTCTTCAGATCGGCCCGCTTCTGGGTAAACATCATTAGACACATGAATTGGGGTCTTTCATGTGTGTTTATTTACTGAAAGCCATGACAAGTGGCTGTGAGTGCCGAGTAGGGGTCTGCTGAGTGATGCGGGGGTGTGCTGCAATGAGGGCAGTGCGTTCACCGTGGGAATGAGGGGTTTAAACTCAGCGCTGTCTGTCTGTCTGTCTGTCTGTCTGTCTGTCTGTCTGTCCTGCGCCGCCTTTTTAATGCCCTGCTCTTACAGGAACATGCATTAATAACAATTCTTTCATTTCCCCCTTTTGCTCTGTTTCTAGAACCATTTGGTAACGTAATGGATGGCCACACCCTCCTGTCAGGAGCAAAAGGGGTAACTATGTTGTGAAGGGCACTATATAAAAACTAATCAAATTGAACTGAATAATTCATCCCCCTAAAGACAGACATACATAATACTATACAGTAGTCGAGGAAACAGGGAAGCAGATCATCCTCATTCCCTAGAGGTGGCTGTCAAAGGACCATGTGGTCAGAAATCAGACATGTGGAAGCAACATAATTCTCATTTCTGCAGCAATTTGCTGTCGAATAAAATGAATAGAGTCATAGGATGTTAATGCTTTTTAAAACTGAGTGGATAAAACTTTCATGTGATGCTTCCAAGGATGAGGGTTCAAATCTCACCTCTGCTCTATGTGTGTGTGGTGGGGGGGGGCATGTATGTATTACATTGTGGGGACATTTGATGTTGATGTGCAGGAATCACCTTTTTGGTCCCCACATGGGGGAATTCAATGTTAGAAAAATCTGCAACTGCAATCAAAGAACTAAAAATGCCAGAAGACTTTTTGTTTTGTTTGGTTACTTATGGTTAAGGTTAGGTCTGGGTAGGGTTAAGGTTGCCATAGTTGGAATTAGGGTGTTGCCCATAGAAA